TCTAATGGTCCGTCCCTAAACAGAACTGGAATGTGTACCCTCATTATGAATAGCTTAATATTTCATACTATAATCTTTTCTGAGGGGTTTCCCTCAAATTTTTTATCATCAAATACTAAGTGTGAAGCAAATGAATTTCCACCCTAAAGTATCCCTGAGTTAATCCCTGCTTGTTCTTTGCCCACCATTCCTCATCCTCCAGGTTGTTCAAATTAACTATAATTCCTTTTTCCAGATGTGAAGCAAACCATCAGACAGCTCATTAAAAGGTCACTTAGGCCATCAACTAGAGACTCAAGCCGTGGGAGGGTGCCTTATGAGCCAAAACAGGCACCTCCTTTCACCCTTGAGCAGATGTTGCGGATGCGCAACTACTGCTTGAAAACAGTTGAGGTATGCTCAYGATATGGTTTTCCATATGTATGTAAGACTATAATATAGTATGTATAATATGTCATTATTATTCTTATTATTACTATATTGCCTAAATTATTTCTGCTTTATTTTTTTATATCYAGGGTTTACGTGGCTTGTGGTTATGGACTATAACCTTGTTTTCATTTTCCTTATTCTTACGAGGGGAGGAACCTCTACGTTTGAAGATGAGACACATCAAATTACCTCCCAACTATTCAGGTACAATATTAATTTTACAAGTCAGGGAAAAATCATGTAGGATGAAAGGAAAACCAATACATGTACATCTACAGGTACAGGTACAGATCTGAAGCCAAAGGCCCAAATGTTCTATCAAATATTTTTGGCAGTAATTGGTTGTCTACGTCTTATGGTTTCCTTTAATCCTACTTAACTATCTATCTATTTATATACATATAAATTCACATATATTTTAAAAATAATGCTTTCTATGAAACACAAGAAAAAGTCTATATAGTACTACTTATATGCTGGTCAAAATGTCTTATATGTCTTTTATAAGTGTTTTTCTCTTTGGAGAAATGATCTTGCAATTGTATTTCATTCTCATCATCAAGAAAAACATATTTGCATGCATGATATAGTCAATTTAGAACACCCATTGGCATCATCTACATCATATTTTCTATTGACTTACTGGTTGTATTGACATATTGATTTTGAAATACTTCACATATATGCAACTGTTCTTGTCCAGTTGAATCAGGTAAATTGCCACAGCGATTGGAAGTGAAAATGCCGTGGTCAAAGGCAGATAAGAAAGCTAAAGGTAGGTGCAAAACATTTTATTCACTTTTTAACATATATTAGGGTTTGTATATTGGCAATGATTTTACATATTWAAAAAATGAGAGCCTGCTGGTTGTACAAAAGCACTAAACCACTGGATATCACTTACCCTGAGCAGGTAAAACAAATATAACTGTATAACTCTTATCTGGTGTGTTATGTACTCAATCCAGCCTTTGTACATGGGATCGGATAACACATATTTAAGAAWAACATTTTCTAATGCATGTCATTAAAATATGTTTCAGGAGTAACACTTACACTGTGGGCTAACCCTCTAAAATCAGAGTTATGTCCAGTTACTGCTCTTTTAATATGGCTACTTGTTTCAGGTAAAATTATAATTTGATATTTAGTCTATATCATGTATGAAATGGCATATTATACTTTTCTTCCAGTATCATTTTATATTGAGGAAGGTGGCAGAGTCATCAACCATAAATTATTATACCAAGTTATTTTTAAATCTTAATTATATATGACTACCATACCATAGAGTTTCAGACAATTACTAGATTTTCACTGAAATAAAATATTATTGTTATTAATAGTTTTATTGCAATTTTTTTTGTGTGTGTGTGCATTCATATGTTCCTGCTGTCATGCCTAAAAATATGCTATGCTAGTATTCAGTTGCAATTGCAACTGGAATCCATCTAGGAGTGCATGGTACAGTTTTGATCAGTTGTATGGCATTTCATTTCAACTGATGAGCATGTGGAAAACAARCTAAGGAAAAGGCTCCCTAAAATTTACAAAAAGAGTTGGGGATTTTATCCTTTATAGAAGGCTGAGAAATCACATTTCTTGACTTGCCTTCAGGAAGCTGAATAAAGATTGATTAAAATGCATTGGTTTCACAATAAAAAATGTATATATAATTTTATGGTAATGATATGTGTTTTTGATCATTCCTTTTACAGATGTAAGAAAAGGACTCCTTTTCCCCAGGGTTGCAAAGAACAACCGCAAGTTACATCCCAACTCTGCCCGAGGTGTAACATCGTACAGAAAAATATTTTCTGAGGTAAATTATGTTATGTCAGCTTATCAAACATTTGCCGCTTACAGAACCTTTCTCCTTCAGTAAATAAATTGAACTAGTTAATTATGACATACGATATTTTCCTAATAGATGTGCCAAGCTCTTTTTGATAAGGAGTTCACAACCCACAGCATTAGACGTTCAGCTGCTATATGGGCTGCTCGATGTGGGGCAGATGACAGCACGATTAAAAGGGCAGGAAGATGGTAGGTTCCATATGATGTTATTACATACTGTTGAGTCTGCGATAACATATTGCTTTTGTCTTGGAATGATCCAARTGGGGCATTTGTTTGTCAATAGAAAACCTGTTTTCTCATTTGGCTATTTGCATTATGCATCTGTGATATCTACTAATAATTTCACCTCCAAATCACCATTGAGTTGTTCCAAGTTTTATACAAACAATCAGCAAGGGAAATCAGTATTTATT